TATATATATATATATATCGTTTCTCAAGTAGGAGGGAGTCGTTAGGTTAGGTTAGGTATGACAACGGTCTTCTTCCTGTCTTGTTTGGCAAGTGTACGAACGACAACTTCTAACCGAACGCTCACGACAACTTCCGATGATGCCCGAAAATGACACACTTTTTCCAACATGGCGCTGTTCAACTGGGGACAGAAAATTTGGCCTATCCACTATCCAGTTATAATATAGATCAGTGATCTCCACTACGTCGAGCAATATTATGCAACACAGCAGTTGCAACAATAACAGGTAACACTTTTTCCACTGTTTGAAATCTAGACCCAAGTGCCAGGATAGGAAATCTTCTTTTCCAGATTCCAAATACTCGCTCGATACAATTGCGTGTACGTATATGTGATTCATTATACAGTTGCTCTGCCCGAGTTCGTGGATTTTGTATAGAAGTCATTAAATATGAGCGCAAAGGGTAACCACCATCACCTAACAGGAAAGTATCTTGGAATGTTTTAGCTTCGAATAAGGCGCGTATCCTGGAATTATTAAATATTGTAGCGTCGTGTACTGAGCCTTGCCAACGAGCCACAATATCGCTTATCTCTAAATTTGCATTGCAAATTGCTTGAACGTTAATAGAAAAGTATCCTTTCCTATTTCTGAAATATTCAGCGGTGTTTCCACCTAAAACAAATAATCATTATCTTTATAGTCTTTATAGAGTCACATACACACACACACACACACACGTGTGCACGCATGCACGCACGCACGCAAGCACACACACACACACACACATACATAATGCAATTATAAAAATTTGATAGTTGGAAAGGAAACGGTTATGCATCAAGGATCAAAATACAATATAAAATACAATATACTTAATGTATTCATTACAAACCAAAAATAATAAAAAATATATTTTGAGAAACATAAAACCGTCTGTATGAAACAACAAAGTAAACACTACGTGAAACATATAATTATATGTAAAAAAATATGTTTAAAATGTTAAAAATTATTTACCAAATGACTGTACTTTTATGTGAGTGCAATCCATGCAACCTATTACTTTAGGAAATCGTGCAATATAAAAAAAACTTTATTTGTTCCCTTTTTATTTCGTCAGCAAGCACAGGAAACTTTATATAACGTGGTCGAAGACGAGCAATAGCAGCAGTCACCCGATGAATAATTCTGTGAGAACTTGTTTTGCTCACTCCAGAAAAATCTGCTGCTGATAATAAATGACTTCCAATTGCATAAAATCTTAAAGTTAAAAGAAGCTGGTTTATCGGAGATATAGCATTGTTTCTGGAAAAAAATTTTTATTGTTTGTAATCATTTTATTTGATTTAATCTTGTTTACTTTGTATTTAATATACTCTAACAGTAACATTACATCAACGTTATAAATTCCACTCAATAATTTAAATACAATATTACGTCTACGTTTGTTTTCTCCCATTAGGAAAATAAATCTATATATAGTTTACATCATGTACAGCTTAGATATTAGATTAATATACAGTCTTTGTGACGTAAACTATAGATTTAGCTTCCTTGTAGGAAAAAACGAACGCAGCTACATATATTCCAGACAGCACACCATGTCTAAAAGACAGCTTTAAGACGTCTTTAAGTCTAAAAGACGTCTTAAAGACGTCTTTATGATGTCTTTTAGATATGTGTGCTGTCTGGGATGTTATTTTTCTTTACAAGGTAGTAGTCAGAACTAAAAGGTATTAAATATTATACACTTGCATCTTATTAATATAGTTGTGCAGGTCATCATTGATCATTGATTTAATTGAATCTGTTTTATAATGATTGACTTTA